ATTTATTTTCAAGTTATGTCTTCATCCTCTCTGTTTCTATAAAGTTATGCAAACATATAATTATGAGGTTGCAGTTGGCCTTTTGGTGCCATTCATTCATGTCATATCATTCCTTTACCACCCCTGCTTTCAAGTCTTCCCCTCCCACACCGTATGCATTCTCTATATATTCATCATTATCTACTAAGCTTGACAGCAAGCTTACAATTTCATACTGATCCCAAGATGCCCATCTAGAGCTGCCCAAGGATTCTTTTCCACTGCAGGATATAGGAGCTCTAATCGATTCAACAGGATCCTCTCTGAGCCAACTCTTGTGTTTTTCTGGGGAGTTTTGGGGAGCCGTAGGATGTTTTCACAAAATGCCTAGGGGTTGAAGGAAGTTAGAGAGGGGGAAGACATTAGACTTTTCATGCTTACATACATGCCACTGATATTCTGATCCTTATATCCATAATTTTAGCCTAACACCAAAGTTTGAAATTGTTGCCTCTTGAAATTTAGACCATGATTTTTCTCAGGAATGGGAAAATTGCTCCCAGTAACATCTTTGTAAAATTCTGTCATCCCTGTGGTCTGGCTGTTGGTGTCCTCCTGAAAATTTGTGTTGAAATTCTAACTCTTTAGGTGTTGGTTTTAGTGAGGCCTTTGGAGGACAGATAAATGACAGGGACTGAGTCCTCAGAAATGTGAATTTTTTCTTTTCTAAAGGGCTTGAGAACACACACACACACACACACACACACACACACACACACACACCTTTCTGTTTTATGAAACAGTGAGAAGGAACCCTTATGAACCAGAAAGCAAGCTTTCGACCAACACCAAATCATCTGTTGTCTTGATCTTAGAGCTGAGCCTCTCCAATGGCTCTGGAAGAATCTCTGCTGTTAATAAGCTGCCCAGTTTGCAGCATTTGTTTTAACATCCTGAACAGACTGACTGCCAGACTTACAGAGTTTTGAAATGAAAGCAAACTGTGATCCTCTTACATGACCAGATTTCTCTCACATTCCTAATTATTTCAAGTTTGTTTGCTTGGGTATGGATATTGTTTCTTCTCTTCTGTGGTGATCAGGTGGTGTTGGTGTTGGAACTGAAGTGAGGAAGTGTGTCTCTGAGCCTTTAGTTTCTTTCAGGCTCTATGCTAAGTACATCTCACATTCAAACTCTGAAGATAATACTATAATAACTTTGTTTCCTGGTTTACTTCTGATTTACAATAAACAAGAAGGAAATAATAAAGATAGAAGATAAAATACAGCAAAAGCCTTGAGTCAAGTATTCTCCATTTTAAGAAAGATCATGTAGGGAAGTGTGTGGTTCTAGAACAATTATATTACACCAATGCAATGGTATTTATTATATCTTAGAATTATATCGTAGAAATAATTTATTATATTTCAGAAATAAATTTTAAGTTAGTTTAGTTGTTAAAAAGTTATCAAGTGATTCAGCTTGTTAGTCTTGATATCAGCTCAGGAAAAAATATATATTTAAAGAGTTGAAAAGAGAATATAGATACTGATTTGTATGTTTTGTGAACTAATTTTATGAGAGGTTGTTTATGTGGTGATTAGTCAAGTGTGGCTAGTGTCCTCCTGCCATTACTTTCAAACAACACAGGTCACATAAAGGGTGCAAATATACAATCATTAAGACTACTGTCTCTGCCATCAGAGTTCCTGTTTATAATGCTGCCTCTGCCATCACTCCCCTAATTTCTGCCCTCTTGTTGAGAAATCCATATTATTTGGAGCATGGTTGAGAAGATTAAGTGAATGATTCCATATAAAGTTCCCAGTACTTTCTGTAAATGCAAAGCATGGTATATACAAATATACAAATCCTAAGAATGTTACCTAGCTTTGTCCTCTTTCTTTACTTTTCCTTTCTAGTAAAATATCTTATGGACTGAAAATAAAACCAACATGGAAGTACTGACATACAAATCGGTTGATTTCTGTCAGCCCAAGGAAATCACAGAGTGTTTTAGGCCCTCATTGCATACAGATTTGATTGGCATTGGAGAAGCAGAGGAGTCCCACTAGGAGCAATGCTTATGCCAGAGGATAGTCTCTTCTCGCAAGGAGTTTTTGAAAAATTGCCACGTTATGTAGACCATGCAAAGATCATGATGAACACTTTTGTCTTCTTTCATTTTGTTGGGCAAAAAACTAAGTAGCTGGCTCTTAAACCACTATCAGCGATTTCCTTCACTCGAAACGTGGCAGCCTTGTTTTCATGAGGCAACGTATTAGCAGGATCTATTATCATTGTTCTTTTTTAAAATTAGTTATGTTTATTTTGAAATTTACAAAAAGTGATGCTGGGAATTAAAGCAAAGATATGATTTATGTCTTCCACTGAGAAGAAGCGAAGCAGTCAGTATCCAAAAGTTATTTAATACCTGCGAGGTTATAGATGAATTGTCAGGTGGCTTGAATTTGTTAAACTCTACTCTGGAGTGACACAGAACCATGGAATCAAACATTGAAGAGATGCATTTATAATGAGAGAATGATTTCTGCTATTCTGGTTGAAAAGTTGAGGTCCATCTTAAGTAATTCCATACTTGGCTACAGCAAACATTTACATGATCTGAGGGAGTCATATATCTTTGCACATCAAACTATGGATTGCCTTTATTTAAAAAAATCCAAACCACTCGATGATTGCAGCAGTATTCATGACTTGCAGTGTTGACAATCTATAGATTGATGTAGTCTTCAGCTCTGGAAATACTGCATCATCTAGAAGATGAGAAATATTAATAATGAAAAAAATATTTATGTAGTCAGCAAATTGTCAGTAAACGTGGCTTAGATTATACGAGTCACCCCACAGAGACCATGTCAGGTTGCAAATTATTCAACCCTCAAAATTATTTGAAAATAAGTAAAGCAAACTTGAGTGTTTTGATACATCTCTTATCCTTTTATTCCTCTTTCTTTCCTTTCTCCTCTTTTATCCTCCTCCACCTTGAAGCTGGAGTAAGTGTTTTATACCAAGTGAAATTCTAGTATTCTTGGAGAATAATAGCTAGACCGTTTTTTGACACCCAGGACCTATTGCATATAGTCAATACTTTCATGCTCTGTGCTGTGCAAATTATGCCTACAGTTCTGATGTGTTTTTTTAAAGTTTTTATTTATCACCCCCCCCCCACACACACACACACACAGATACACACACTTTTTTAAACATTGGCTATTAGTTTCACTTCCCTCCTCTCCTCCCAGTTCTCTCTTATCTCTTCCAGATCTGTTCCTCCTTCATTTCCCTTCAGAAAAAGCAGACCTTCCATAGGTATCAACCAAACATGACATATCAAGTTACAGTAAGACTCTCTGCATACCTTCAAATTAAAGTCAAAGGAGTCTAGTCAGTAATAGGGAATGGATTCCAAAAGCAGCCAAATGAGTCAGAGTTAGGAGTCCCACAAAAAGACCAAGCTACAAAATCATCACATATATGCAGAAATCCTAGGTCAGACCCAGATAGGCTCACTGATTGTTGGCTCAGTGTCCATGAATCTCTATGCTTCCAGATTAGTTGAATTTGTGGGTTTTCTTGTGGTGTCCTTGACCCATCTAGCTCCTATAATCTGATGTGCTTTTTCTGTTCCTTTATTTATTCTGTCTTGTTATATTGCTGTCTTTGAATGTTGTTTTAATATATGCTTCCAATGACAATACTTATAATGATGTCTTTAATTACTAAAAAATTATTTGATAGGCAGAGAAACAAAATGCTATTATAGTAATAGTCAAAATATAAAACTATCCTGGATCATTTCTTTTTGTTTGTTTTTATGTGTCTTATGTCTACTATCAATCCCAGACTGATAACACTTTTAACAAAAGGTTAATGAATAGTGTGAGATGTTGGCATCAACATGACAATTGTCAAATCTTTCTGCCCACGTTTTTGGAGGTCTCATTTGACATTTTGAGTTTTGATTCTGAATGACTTAAGAGTTTACTTAGAGAGCTCACTTTTCCAAATTATATGCCTCAAATAGGAAAATAAAGGTAACTAAAAGACACAATAGACGTGAAAACAAATTGATTGCAACAATGATTTCAATATATATGTATATGAAAATATTTTAATACACACATTAAATATCTGTGTTTGTCAGTTACATCTCACAAACCAAACCAAACAAAAGATATACACAAAATGAAACTTGACTTCAGGTGGGTTTGAGCAGCAGCTGCCCTGCTAATTGCCTGTATCAGAAATTGGTGAAATGATTGTAATAGACCCCAGTCAGTTTCATTACTTCTATACATCATCTCTAACAAACTTTCTATTTTATCTATCAGTTGGAGTTCAGATGTGTTCCTGTATCTGTTTTAAATTTATTTAATCTCACTTGCTTGCAATGTTCCTTAGACTCTCCTGAGCCACTTTAAATTCATTAAAGGAAAAGATATTAAAAGAAGTAAATGAATAACTAGAATATAGTACTATTTACTATGACCTATCAGCAGACCAATAGTACTAAACTCCATGTTTTATTCATATTTTACCACTCTCTATGACTTTAATGTTGCCTCTCTGAATAAAATAAATTTTAAAACAGCCGAATATACTAGTCCACAAGTCTAATTGCACTGGTTGCTGGAAATTGTAATTGAAGCGTTGTTTAGATGTTTCTCAAGTTGGTTCTGTCTCTCTTCTCTTCAATTATCATCTCCTTAAAGTTAAAGCACTATTTTTAATTTTTATTGAACTAATAAATCACTCCTAATCCAGGGAAATAAGAAAGAAACAGCAAAGAATGTCCATGGTATAAACAGCATTATTCTCGTACAGAGTTCTTTTCACACAGTGTGTTCCTTGGCTTTTTTAGAGGATAGGTTCTCTTTAAGACATGTCTCATGTTTCTTATGTTAAATTTTCTGTACTCAGTGTACTGCAGGTCAGGAACATTGATGAATGTTATGTGTATACTTATTCTTCATTATTTTCCAATTTTATCATTTTAGGTCTTCAGCATCAGGACAAGAACAAAGAATCAACTTGGTACTGAAGCATGGTATCAGCAGGTCATATGGCAGCATGAATCCAAAGGCCCACTGGGAAAAAGATGTCATCTGGGATATCCCATCCAGGAATGGGACACAGGAAACATGGACTGAGAAGAGGACATATAAGGCCATTGTCTTTAGATTTGAACCTTTTCTGGAGAAAACATAGTGGGCCCTCCTAGTCATTGAAGAAGAGCATTTGATTTGTTTTCCCTCATCTGAGCCTTTGTCAACTGTGCAACGTCTTGTTTTGCTTGCCTTGTACCAGTACCTGGACTAGTTTTATTGTGCTTTTTCTTTTTGCTTTTTTTTTCTTTTGCCAGCCACCTTGTAAAAAGATGATCTACCAAATTAAAATGCTCATTTCTTCAGGAAAACCATTAACTCCATCTTCATCTATTTTTGTAGAAATACAAAATGGTTGGCTTAGCATGGAGGGGATATTTTGAAAATGTAATGTTTTGTTTTTTAGTGTTGTAACAATTGTTGAGTTCTGTTTAAAGAACTTGCTCTCAGAAAAGCACTGGCAAAAATGTTTAAGCGCTGATCTTTAAAGTGTCTGCAAAGCGCTGTGACTGTGCTTCAGAGGGTACCTCAAGGCTTTAATCTTTTCTACAACAGTGACACTATCGTAGACAAATCCTGAAACGTTGTGTTTATGTTGAAACTCAGTGAAGATTTAATTCAATGATAGCTCTCTTAGTTTGCAGTCATATATGTCTATGCAGCTTGAAGGGGGCATTTTCTTTTAAAAGGACATAAAGTAAAGGGTATTTCTCCCAAATAGTTCTTGGAGGTTGACTAAAAATACTTCTCTGTGTAGTCCAGTCTATCATAACAATTAGGAATAGAGCAAACACATGGTTTCAGAATAGGAAAAACCAATGCATTTAGCCATGATAACTATGGATCCCACTGACAAATTTTCCTAATTTTTAACCATTCATTCATGGCTGTTTCAAAAGTCATAATTTGGACGAATTTGTTTTCTGGAGTGAATGCAAATGAGTAATGTCAGGGTCAAAGTGCTGACTGTCCTTCATCTTTGTAAACTGAAAAGTAATGTATTCTTTATGTAATGTTTTAATTTGATCATTTTGCAAGATTTTCATTTGCTTTTAAGTGTAATTAGTTTCTCAAAAATTAGTGCAAAATAAAATGGTTATGAATTTAAGTTTATGCTTCAATTACACAAACAAGTTAAAGACTGAAAGAATGAGAGGGGAACTTCACATGGACCACAAGATACAGAAAAAGTGAAGTTGAAATTTACTTTAAGAGAAGATTAGACAAACGTTAGGATTATGAAGGTAGCAATGACTGCCAAATCAAAGACACAGCCTAGTTTTTCCTTTCAGTTGCTCCCAGCCATAGAGGACCTTAGTATAGTATAGATGCTTTTATTTGATAATGTTTCTCCATTTCTCTCATTCCTCTCAGCCCACACAAAACAGAAGGTTAAGTCACGTGCTATGTTCTGTTTTTAATTGTGAACGTCATGGGTGTGAATACTTTACACATTAACAACACAACAAGCAGCTACACAGAATTCTCACAACTCATTTCCAAACATTTCTCTTGGCTGTATCTTAGACATTTGTTTCTCCTCCTGCTGTGTTTTGAATTATAAATCCACTTCATCTCTTGTATCTCCAGACTACATCATTTCTTCATCTTGATTTTTCTTGAACACAGCCTTCACATTTTTTTATCAATATAGTCTAGATTTAAGGTAGCTTCCACTAACCAATTTAGGAACTTTAGCATCTAGATAATGGGCCTCCTTAAATTCTGTGCATGTCTCTCTGGATTTTGATAACAATTTGTATTTGTTATCTGTATCTGCATAAATATGTGAACCATAGAGTTGAATGAGTCTATCAAATTCATGTTGTATTGAATCCTTCTGAGTTATGAGAACTGAGCACTCAGCAAATCCCATGAGGGAGACTCTGTAGCTGTTATCACATCCTCCCTTGGGATATATTAACTTACATTGCAGTGTCTCTTAGAATGGTGCCACACTTGAAATCACTGAACTCGCTCCATTGAATTTTCTCAGATAAGAGGAGGGTAGGAGGACTAACTTTGTTTCTTTTCTTCTTTATCATCTTTCTGGATTGGAAAAGAAAGTAAATAATTTAGTGATTTTGCCCTGATGTCCTCATAACTATGGCCAAAACATGATTTGGTTCAAGACCAAAGGAAAGTGAAGAATCTGAATTTTATTGCCTGCAACAAAGGTGTGATACCCTGCTTTGAGAACAGGCATAGGTATCAGTGGGATATTGTTACCAAAAGAATAGACCAAAATCTAGTAAAAGAAGAGGGAACAAGTCTCTCTAATTCTCTAGCATCCTTCAGTGTTTTGACATTACTGTAACAAGCAGAAATAATAAAGGAAGCTGTACCATATCAAAATAAATAATCTGAATTTATTTGTTTGTAAAGTGCTATTACATTCTGGATCTGGATTTCTCACTTTTAAAGTACGGCTGCTATACTGAAGGGTGGCTGCCTTCTGCCCCTCTGAATTCATTAGACTCACTCTACTTTGGCAGTTTTGCAAATTAAATTTCTTTCAGTCTATTTGAATGCCTGTACATTTGACACCAGAAAACCTTATTATTCTATATGCAATCTATTATTCCACCAATGAACTCTCTACAGTAAGAAACCACATAGTGTTGGTTATTAGAGTCCCCACAGGATACTTAATCTTTCCTTGTTAGTTTCTAAAGAACCTCTGAAGTTTATAGTCTAAACATTTTTTATAAACCACACTGATATTTTATCTTTCAAAAGTTACCTATTCTTTTTAACTCTTCTAACTATTCTATTTTGGATTCCTTATTGAGATTTGCATGTTAACTCCCCAAAATAGAAATATTATCCTAAAATTTGTAAAATGAAAATGAATGGATTTCAAAAAATACTGAAAAACACATTTCCCAAAGTTGTAGCATTAAAATGAACTGTTCTAGAGGAGCTCAGCATTTATTCTACCAATATTATTTGCCTGTTCCTAAGTTTGCAGAACACCGGACAGGAAGTAGCCTAAAGATCACTATCTGACTTGATGTTGCAGTTGTAATTTCTAGTGACAGAGACTGTACTTCTATAAATTCCATGTTGTCCTTTATGAGAAGGATCCCTGTGTGAAGTAGCATTTGCTGAATTAGTCAGTGGCAATGGCAGTAAGTGATGAACAAGACACGGACACACATTACTGTTTTGACTGAGAAAGGGTGGATCAGAAGGATGATTTAGTGTGAACTCAATTGTTCACTGAATTCTGACTCGGCTGTGGTTTATTGTTTCAGAACATCATTTACCTCATGATAAAAATGGGATAATACTACCTACCAGGATGTCTGTGTAAGATGGGAAGCATATACAGATGAACCCCACTTACAGCATAGATGTTCAAACAACTAACTGCCTCCTCAAAGGACCATCAATTCAGCAAGTTGGTTATTAAATTGAGCTCTTAACTTAATGTTGCATGTTCATTATTCAACACTTAAATAGACCAATGACTGCTATTGAAAAGGGAATTTTTTTAACTTAGAGAGATAAAATGTTAACTTCTTAACAAATTCTGAGTTTTTAATGTGGTGTTTCTGAAGAAAAGCTAATTAAACATCTAGTTGTATGTAGCCAGAGTCTGAGTCATATTCACCCATAACTCTATATTTTGCTGTCTCCAAAATTAGGAGGGCATCCTCACCAAGCCACCAACCTTTGTATTTGCCAGATATACATCGTGTTTCTGTGGCACTGGACTAAGACTGTTCTTCTTCTCTGCCCCTCTTGTTTTTCCTTGCCTCGAAGGAAAAGTTGCACAATATGGTGTGGAAAAAAAAATTCTCTTTCACGGAAAGGGAGGGGGAAGCATTCCCTTTACGACGATCTCAGTCAGCAGATTTACTCTACTTAAGAAAAAAATGAAACAACTTTATTGGAAGCAGATGTTGACACTGTGTCGGTTATTGAAGATGGAAAGAGTTCACTCAGTTATTGCAGTTACAAAGGGGTATTGATGGCACTCAAGGTCCCTGTGATGGGTCACCTTCCCAGCTGTGGGTGGACAGTAGAAGCTGCATGAAACCCAAAACGAAGTCAGCCTGTGATTTCAACATGCAAAAAACCCCAAGGACTGAACTTGTTTGGTGTATTTTTTTCTCCCTGCAGACTGCATAATATATATCTTTCCTATAATATTAAGGCTGGAAAGACAAGTTAAAAACCAAGAATCTTAAAAATACTACAATTTGAGGACATCACAAAACCTACCATGATATCATGAAAACTTTGATTAAAATTATTTCAGGAAAAAATAGGCTGATATTTTTGTCTCACAATGAAGCTGAACACACACATATACACCATGAAGGAAGGATGGATTTAATGTTTGGGGAATGAATGGAGCCAACAAGGGAATCTCAGCTTCAATAGCTTCATAATGTTAAGTGCCATGGTTATGTGGTCACAGGACTAGGTCACAGATCAGACTTGTAGAATATTGCATAGTATTTTTTCTCTTAGTGCTTTCTGGGGATTTTTAACCTATAGAATTAGTCATTATAGTTAAATGTATTACATTTTAATTTTTTTTGTTGTGAGCTTTTGTTTGTTTGAAACACTGTGTGATGTCAAACGATTAGTCAAAGAAATAATCTTGAAATTTTGACCACCCTATATTGATTCAAGGACATTTTCTAAAACTCCCTTTTAAATTTCAGGGAATTCTAATAGGTTTTAATGTAGTTTTTCAGTTCTGTTGTGTTGTGTAAATAAATGGGGCCATGCGATCTTTTAGAAAGGGGCACACCATCACTAATTAATTTCTTTTCTTAATGATTTCTGACTACTAAATTGTAGGCTAACATTAGTTCTCTTCAAATATAAAATTCATAATGAAGCGTTCTTTCTTTTTACCTAAGATGTGAACTTTTCTCTTTAAACTAATAGACATAGACATTTTTTCCCTTCTGTTTTTGTGGCTAGAGTCACAAAACAGAATGTAAAGGTTTTTACACACTAGGTTTAATGTACAGAATATGTATTCTTGTGAGCATCCTATCTGATTTACAAATGCTATTCCATATAGGTATTTTTCAAGATGTACAATGTAGGGAAAACCTCCATGTGAGTTCTTTGTATCATTTTAAATTGCATATATTTAAAGGGAAACATGGATTCCTTTTGTTTTCATTGTGTGCACCTAGGTAAGGTGATGTTTTTGTATAGAAAAGATGCACAATATGATAAACTTTATATTTATCACTGGATAAAGTAAACTGAAAACTAGTAATAGAAGTCATATCTTACAGCATCTGACATAGAGTGAGATTCTAGATTTGGTAGTTCTGAGAGAAATCATGCCATCTTCATTTCCTATTTTCAGAAAAGGAAATTAAGCAATCTCGGTTATGATGTCATCATTAACTAATGGATAACAAATAATTCTTAAAACTTTTGACTGCATAATTGTAAGATCATATGATTATTTTGTTATCATTCTTCAAATGCAGGACTTCTAACTGTGTCATGGATATAAAATCACGGAAATCTTTGTGACAAAAACAGATGTCATTTTTTGTAATTTGTTCAATAAATAATTTAATGTGACTTTAATGATTGAGTTTGCACTTCTAGTAATTAAACCTTTGTTTCCTTTGTGTTTAAACAACTTGTAGATATCATTCAATCATCTCATGTTTGATTTTTATAAACTACAAGGTTAATTTCCAGAACCATGACATTTATTTGTTACAGTTTGGAGTGAATTATGAAACATATGTTTATAGTGGAAGAGCAAGTGAAATTGATTAATGACATAACAGCAGGAGTCTTGAGAAGTTTTTCGGAATGATGCTGCTAAGTTATTTGTTTGACCCTTTGGAAAACATGTCCTGATGATTTTTGTTTCCACATTCATCAGCATAGAACTTTCTATAAGCAATATGAAAAGACAAATGGAAAACAACAGCAACAAAGCTTTTCTGCCATTGGCTGACATGAAGGAAGTGGGTCTGTAAACAGGTTTCTAAGAGTTCCCTGCTTTTTTTCTTATTCAGTGTTCTTTAATACAAAAATGTGCTTTTGGAAAGCAGTCTTAAATAATAATATTCTCCAGCTACACAGGTGAAATAATTTGACACATCTTCCTTACAGTCTGGAATAGACTGGGGTAGCATATGATGGGTTTATGGCTACCATGAAAATATTACTAGAAATATAATGACTTAAAACAATGCAAACATTATTTTACAGTTCTGCACCTGTTGGGCAGAAGTTTTGTCTTGGGCTATGAAGCATGGAGTACATGCTGTTTGCACACTCCAAAGAGCATCTGTGTTCTTCCTGCATCCAGTTTCTGCAGTCCTCCAGGCATTGGCCCCCTCATCCTTATTCAAAACCAGTCACCTTCATCTGGTCATACTTTCCCATTCTTGTCTGCCTCCTCCTTAAATAGGTGATGCCCCTCTGTGGTTATACATTGATTCTCCTTATGGAATTCAGGATAGTGTTTTGTGTTTTACAGCCATTATCTGCAAGGTCTCTATTTTTGTATGAGATACAATGTGTTCTCAAATTTAAGGGGAAAGACTGTAAACACGTATTATTCTACCACAATTATTTATGGCCTTTAGTGTTTTTATTTTAAACAAATTTATAAGCAGAAAGGACTTACTACTTCATCAGAAATAATAGAATGTACTCTTTGCTTCAGTGTTTCTGTTAGGTAATAGGTTATCAAGAAACTTTCTGCTGTTTCTTCGAATACTTCGTGAAGTATCTGGGTCCCTTTGGTCACAGCCAGAACTCAAAAGGGTTAGAGTACAGTCCTAGAGAGAGTGTAGTTTCTTTCTCACTGAATTGCTTTCTCTTTGGGCAATCAACAACCAACACCATTTGACAGTGTTGCTCAGGGGTGGGGCTTATGTCCTTCCTGTGATGGGCCTATTCTCCAAGTGTCTCATTGGACTAAATAGTGATGAATAACCACATTTGAGTGGTGAAGTCTTGACACTTCTGTCCCGATTGAACCACTCCAGCTGCTATCAGTTAAGCAGTGGAAAAGTGTTACAGAAAAGCAAATAGGCTTTGATAGGTTTCATGTACAAAGTAGGAATCTATACTGTGGAGTGCTGCTGATCAATAAATGAGCTTCGAAGCTGCTGGAAACAACATCCAAACACAAGTGCCTTACTTTCCATACCAAGTTTGGCTGTGGCTGAATGAAGAACACCCAGCATTGATCCTTGCCTTGCACTTGTGCAAGCTGCTATTTACAGAGAGCCAAATATAGCAACAGAGGATTTAATATCTTGCCAAAAACTACAAAATCTGTTCCCCCTTAAGCATGATACTCTATCCTTTTCTTGTGGATCTTGCTAAAAGGAAAATATAGCTTTAAACTACCCAATCC